GAGGATGAGGCCCAGAAATCAGGATTTTAAAAAGATTCCCAGGTGATTCTAATGTGCAGCCAAGGTTGAGAACCTCTGCTTTAGGCCTTTCCTGTAGACCAGTCTACACCGCCCTTAGCTACTCCAGTCTTTCCCATTGTGATTGTGCTCCAAACACCCCCCGCCCCCGCCAACTCTTGGGAGATGACCTTGCCTTCTTGCTCTAAGAGAAAAGCTCCTTTTCAAAGCATTTGGCTCCCTCAAAACATGCCATCTCTCCCTAAGTCCTCCCCTATGTTCTCCATTCCATTCTCTTGTTGTTTTGCCTTGCTTTCACCAGCATTCACAATCCCTTAGCCAACCAATCACTCCCTCTTCACAGGTTTTTCCTCCTCAGCCTAAAGACTTATTACCCATGTTGCCACTACCTTAAAAAGCCTTCCCTACACTCAGTTCACCGCCCCTGGCTTCCACACTTTTCTCTCCTTTCCTCCTATGCACTTCCTAACCTCTTTTTGTCTGGCTCCTTCTCTTTGTTTATATTGCTCTCCCCAGGGTCACTAGTAGTCACTAAAATCCCCAAATCTATGCCCCTTCTTCTTCCCAATTCCCTCCAATCCTCTTGTCACTGTTGACACTGTGAGTTATGTTCTCCTTATAGAAACATTCTTCTCCGTTGAGTTGGGTGAAACTGCAGATCCTGGTTCTGCCCTTTCCTGTGTGGCCAGTTCTGACCCTTTGGCAAGGTCAGGTTCCTTTTCCCAGTCTCTGAAAGTGGCTTCCACTCCTCAGGCCTCTTGAACCTCTCAACACTCCTCTCCTTGACAACCTTCTAAATCAGCGGTTCTCAACCTGTGGGTCACGACCCCCTTGGCGGTCGAATGACCCTTTCACAGGGGTCGCCTAAGACCATCCTGCATATCAGATATTTACATTACGATTCATAACAGTAGCAACATTACAGTTATGAAGTAGCAACGAAAGTAATTTTATGGTTGGGTCACAACATGAGGAACTGTATTTAAAGGGCCAGAAGGTTGAGAACCACTGTTCTAAATCCATATCTGCTATGCTAGCTGGGTGTGGGCGTGTCCACCTGGACACTCCTCCCCCACCTGTGCTGCATGTCTAGGACCAACATTCCCACATGCATCCCTCTTTCTGACAGTGGTGCAAACCACCAGCTTTTCAGTTACCAGACTTGGGTCTCTAGAGCTATGATAGACTCCAGTTAATTGCCAAATCCTGGCCATTTTGCCTTCACCATATCTTGCAAATTCTTTCCTTTTTTTCCCTGAGAACAGCCCCTCATTGCCTCCTGCCTCTATACTGCTTTACCAGAACCAGTTTGTATGTGCCCCCTCTAGTTTAGAAATCACTCGTGGGCCTGAGACCCTCTAAACCTGGTCCCCATATATTGGGGAAAGTGTGATGAAAGCATACACTTTTGAGGCTGAATTCTAACTTTACCCTAATTGGCAGTGTAATCTCCAGTAAGCTTCTTAACCTCTGTCAGCTTTGGTTTTCAATCTGCAAAATGAGGATAATAGTATGCACCTTAGAGGTTGTGAGAATTAACACTGGTGTGTATAAGTGGTATGAATTGCATATAATATTGGCACATAATACATGCTCAGTAAGTGGGAGATCACCATTCTCATCACTTCCAAGTTTGCAGCCTTATTTCCTCTCCTCCCTTACATACCTCCCCTGTTCTGGCTGACTGGTCTGGGCATGAGCCCCTGAAACATCAGGTTCATTTGGCTCCCATGCTTTGATTCTACTCCCCTCCAACACCTGATTATAATGTTGCACCCTCTGCTTCTTTGTTCATCTTAGAATCATGTTTTTTAATGGAGAAAGAGACCTTAGAGATCCTGTAGTCCAAGCATGTCAAACTCGCAGCCAGCGGGCTGCATGCTTCAATATGTATGAGGCATGCGGACTGCTGGTCACGAGTTTGACATGCTTGCTGTAGTCTAAGCTTTTTAGGCTAACAACAAAAAAGAACCTGAAGCCTAGAGAAGTAGAATGATGAGCCCAAAGCTATGTAGCCAAAAAATGGCAGAGTCAGAAGCAGGGCTTGGGGTCCCTGCCATGTAGCCCGGTGCCCTGTGCACCATCTTCCGTGCCTCTGGTTCCTCTGTGTATCTGTATGTTTAGCCCTACTCTGCTTTGAAGCGCTACATAAAGTTTCACCTCCTCAGTGACTTCTCTCCTGATTACCCTGCCCGCAAGGGGGATGATTCCTTTTGGCACTTACACTTGGCCCCCTTGGAGTTACTTAGCTTTCTCTGAGTGTGTGTCTTCCTTTCCTAACTTTATATTCAGCACTTTCAGGCAAGGGCCTCATTTCTGTTGTCTGGCAGCGCTCGGTAAAAGCTGGTTAGAGAGGAGTGCACTCATGGCTTACGACTTACCTGCTGGTTGAAGTGAACTTGGATCACACACATTTCTGCAGGGAGGAGCAACACTGTTGGGAAAATTGCTTCCAAGGGCACCTAAGTTGACCAGTTACGACTTACCTGCTGGTTGAAGTGAACTTGGATCACACACATTTCTGCAGGGAGGAGCAACACTGTTGGAAAAATTGCTTCCAAGGGCACCTAAGTTGACCAGTGAGTGGAAGGGCGCATTCCTCAGTCCTGGCCCCAACTTTGGCCTTCTGTATCACATAGCCCTTGGTCCTTCGATCACTGACTAGCTAGCTCATCCCCAGTCCTGGGATGTTTGACTCACCCCAGAGTGCACAGTGGGGGAGGGCACCAGGCTTTTCAGCTAGCCTGGTAAAGGAGCTCTGATCCAAGTAGGACCTCAGAAAAGGAGGCCATCAGGCCAGCGAGCTGGACAGGGACAGAGCAGTACGTGAGAAGTTGTTCAGGGCCTGACATCTGGCTGTGTTGGAATCCTGGGGACAAAAGGGTCACCTGTAATGCAGCCCTTTCCTGGTTACTTCTTGGCTCAGTAAATGGGGAAATTCCGCCCCCTCCCTCAACTCTGGAGTTGTGTGGTACAGTCCAATAGGAAAGCCAGCTCCAAAATGATCTTCAGATCTAGGGAGTCCCACGCCCAGGAAGAGATTTGTATGTGATTAGGAAAGGGGAAGGGGGGAGTCCCCACCCCCACCACGGGGAAGGGTGCTGTGCTCTACTCACTCTGCTGCCCCAGTACCTGCTACCAAAAATCAAGCTGCAATTCTGGTGATGCACACATGGCAGGACAGAGGCAGACGGCCTCCACCCACAGAGCTGCGCTGCTGATCCGCAGAGCAAACAGGAAGGAAAGCATGCCTTGCAGCGGTCAGTGAGGGCAGGGGTGCAGGGAGCAGATGAGCGAGGAAGGAGCTGAGGGCTGGTCTCTGCAGGTCTGGGCTAGAGTTGCTGGGCAAGGAGAGGCATGTGATGTGTGATGCTGTTGTGATGCTGTTGCAGGATCATCCGGACCAAAGTTCAGCAGCCTTTTCACCCAACACCGGATGGGGCTGGGACTGGAGTGACTGCGCCTGGCCACACCATTGGTAAGAGGGCTCAGGCTCAGGGAAGCGGGGTAGGGGT